GGATGGGACGAGGTGTTTTAGCATTTAACTCTTATAGATTAAAGGTCAGCAAATTCCCGAGATGTTTTGTGCTCAATAAGTTTGAACAAGTGCATAAGACGTAGACAGCAGCCTAAGACACCAGATATTGTATTCCTGGGGTTGAAAATGCTCACGTTGGACACTGAACAACCAATGCTTGTCAACTCCAGAGAAGTCTGTGTCCCCACTCACCGGAATCCCGTGGAAAACTGAGGTCTCCTGGCTGGAGTCCATGGTGATTGGCCGGCTGTACTTGGGATGGGAGTGGGACAGTCCGGAATTGTCGATCATTAAAGGACTGCGGTAGAGAGGCAGACAAGTCACACAGGGCTGCTCAGGTTCAATGAAACAAAGCCACAGAAGATACTTCTTTCAGCATGGCTACATTGTCTACATTATCCCGGCAAGCAGGGGGCTCTTCTTGATCAGAGGAACATGCACACCTCGCTCGATCCAGAGAGCACACGCCCAGACAGAGCCGCAACGCGCACGGAGGTCAGGTATGAGGTGAAGATACGTACAGCTTCCTCTTTCTGCCTGTGATGCCTTTGGACTGGGCCATGCTGGCAATGAAATGAATAATCTAACAAAAGAAAAGAGAGAACCATTGGTGCCTCATCACTCCGTGCACATGAAGTGCCTGCTGAAACTATCCAGCCCTTTCCTGTGGTGTCCCTTTTGGTGGCATTACAAATGAAGTATACACTTTTTTACAGAGAATAATTTTAATCAGATGTTGAACGCATAAGCTGAACACTTGTATATTGTTACGGTACAGAAAAGTAAAGGTAGTTAGCGATTCATTTTTTTTTTTGTATTTACAAATTTACAATAACCACAAAAGAAAAATAAAATAATTATAATAACCAATAATACTTATGATGAGTAAAAAAAAAAAACAACTACAACAACAACAAAGGTTCGCGTATCTAAGGCTTTTGTCCATTAATGCACTTCCGTGACTTTTCAGTAGATTAAGCTGTTCTTATGATTTCCTTTTCAATTTGTGAAATTTCACCAAAGCGAAGTAACACCAGTGGCCAAGTTCGATGGCCAAAGTCCCTCGACGAACGGTAAATCCGAATATGAATCTGATCTATAAGTGAGGTGATCTAAAAAGAGTACTGAATCCCTCTTCTCTGCTCTCTCTCTCTTTCTTTACTCTTCCCGCCAATCAGTCGATCCCCCTTTTCTATACCTGGATCGAGTCTAGAAACTTCTAGACACCTCATGTGACCGTTCTAGAATATTCCAGTCAATAGTAGTAATTATTTACAGAAAGTTATATGAATTAGAAATGAAAAACGTTCTGGCAAATACGCAAAGAATTATCCGTAACACTCCCCCTCTTGAAGAAAAGTAAGTTTTTGTCAAGAAAACTTTCTTTTAATCATAAACCAAAATGAAAGGATATGCAAGAACAAAACAAAATATACATGAGACTATCATATCGTACGCAGTGTGCAATCTGACAACATGAACAAATGATATTCTAGAGAGAGTCGGTAATTAAATTGTCTTTCCCATTAGTATGCCTTATGTCCAGATTATATTCCTGGAATATCAAACTCCACCTCAAAAATCTTTGGTACTTATCTTCCAATTTATCAATAAACACGAGGGGGTTTTGAGCACTAAAGACAGTGATGGGTAGACTTGAAGAGGTAACGTTCACCTCAAAGAGCTGCAAGGCTAGAATCAGAGATCCACATTCTTTTTCAATGGTAGTCATTTCTCCGATTGTTGTTGAAAGTAAGATTGTTCGTGAAAAGTAATAAATTGGATGATCCACCCCTTCTTTGCCTTCTTGCAACAGAATGGCACCAGCCGGAGCGTCCCTTGCATCAGCAGCTATTTTGAATTGTGAATTGAAATTTGGTGCTGACAAAACTGGAGCGCTTTTCAGAATGGCTCCAAGTTCTTCGAACGCCCTTTCACGTTCTCCTGACCACACAAGTGTAATATTTTTTCTTAGTGAGTCAGAGGCTCAGTAATAGAAGAGAAATTTGGACAAAGTTTTCTGTAATATCCAGCCATACCAAGAAAGCGCAGCAGTTGTTTCTTACCCTCAGGACTAGGAAAAACAGAAATAGCACAGACCTTAGCATCAGTAGGTTTAACCTGACCCTGGCCGACAATAATCCCGTCCTAAATAATTTAAACCGGCACATCCAAATTCACTCTTGGTGAGGTTGATCGTAAGCCTGGTGTCACTCGGTCGTTCAAGAATCCTCCGAGATCACTTCTCACGTATGACTGTAAAGCAGTACGTCTGCAATGTAGGCTTCACAACCACTGAGACCAGAAATGATGTTGTTGGCGAGATGTTGAAATGTTGCCGGTGCATTTTTCATGCCAAACGGCATCACTTTATACTGGAAGAGTCCATCTGGTGTAACCAAAACTGAGATTTCTTTAGCACAGTCCGTAAGAGGAACTTGCCAAAATCCTTTGAGTAAATCAAATTTGGTTACAAATTTGGCATTCCCCATCTTATCAATACAGTCATCGATGCGAGGGATTGGAAATGTGTCTGTCTTAGTCAAACTGTTAACGTTCCTGTAGTTGGTACACATCCCGTAGCTTCTATCAGGTTTTGGTACAATGATGCACAGAGAGCTCCAATTGCTTTTGATAGGTTCAATTAGGTAATTGTCAGAAAGATACTGAATTTCATCATGTACCTTTGTTTAATGGGATTCAGTCTTTAAGGATTGTTGTTTCACTGGTAAAGAATTGCCAACGTCAACATCGTGAAAGATTTTGTCAGTCCTGGTCAGAACATCTGGAAATGTTCGAACTTGTGAAGAATATGTTTCAATTGATCCTGGTCATATTGTGGAAGATGCGACAATTCTGAATCCAGATTTCAAAAGAATTTCGGATTTTTCCAGCTTTGCTGAGACGGAAGGAACATAAATTTTTTCACAAAAATCATTTTCAGCCTGGCAGGGTCAGAACTTACTCAATTTACAGGATGTACATTCTTAGCGCTATTTCTGTCTGCATAAGGCTTTTTAACATGTTCACATGACACAATCTTTTCTGTCTGTGCCTGTCAGGGGTTTTTAAAACATATTTTAAATCACTTAATTTTTTGTCAATAACAAAAGGACCAAAATCCCCATCTTCGAGTGGTTTTCTAGGAACAGGATGTAAACCAAGTACGCTCTCACCAGGTGCAAATTTACGTTCAATTGTGCTTTGATTTTTGAGATTTTCTCTTGCTTCTTCACATGCCTTTTTAAGTCATGTGCGAAAGTCTGAAACATACTCAAGGAGATTCAAATGCTCGTCGTCATCAGACAAGAATTTCTCTACAAGGAGCTCAAGTGGCCCTCTGACCGTATGTCCGAAAACGAATTCAAATGGACTTAAACCTAGCGATTCTTAAACAGTCTCCCTAACAGCAAATAAAAGCAAAGGAATTCCATCATCCCACTATTTTTCAGCATCAAAGCAAGTCCGAATCACGTTCTTAACAGTTTGGTGAAACCTCTCCAGAGCACCTGACTTTCAGGGTGGTAAACAGGAGACCTATACTGCTTAATGCCTAACTCATGCCTTACTGACAGGAAGTCAGAACCCTGGCCAGATTGAACTGATTTAGGAAGTCCAAATAATGTGAAAAATGTCATCAAGGCTTTTATAACGGTCTTAGTCTTACCGTTTCTTAGAGGTACAGCCTTCGGGGAATCCTTGTAGACGCACACATGAAATAAAAATCGCTGACTTTGAGACCACAATTCTAAAGATATGTCTACGCAATCAAAAAATTAAATTAGCCTGGTAAAAGTCTATATAAAGAATTTTACAAAGTTTTTTTCAACAGTGGTTGATTCAGTGCAATTACAAGCCCAGTCCCTGCCATCCAGCTAAAAGCATCCAAACCTATGTCATTTTGTTTCCTGCTCTGGTCACTCGGACAGCTTGAAAATGACAAACCAGGAAGATCGGGATGTGCATCACGTGGTCAGAGTTCCTTGTGAGCCGACTGCCACCCTGCACTCAGGAGCCACGGGCTGCTCCTCACCTTGCGGATGACTTTGTGCTGCTGCTGGTATTTCTGCCGCAGAGAATCCACCTCGTTCCACAGGCTCTCGTTCTCCCTGGCGGGTAGGAAAAGAGACACAGCAGTCGCACCTCCGGCTGAACGAGTCACACACCTGCTGGCCATTTCAAATCGAATCAAATCAAAGTGTATTTATCAAATGCACAGCACAAATGCACAAATACAGCGTGCAGCAGTAGTTGCTGGCAATGAAATGTCCTTTCTGCGAGCTCACAAAAATCACAAGAATCACAACAATCACAAAATCCACAAAATTAAGGTTACGAAAATAAGATAACATAATAATAGATGTAATAGAAATGGAATAAAACTCAATATGAGTAGAGCTGCTATGTGTCCATGGTGTATGCAATATATACAAGTAGTGCAGTTATGCTGAATACAGTGAAAACTGTGTGTCCATGTAGCCATTACAGGTGATTTGCTAAAGGAGCTGCAGGTTAACAGCCTTATTGCCTGATTTAGCAGTCTTATTACCTGAAAAAAAAGTCTTATTTATGAAAACTGTGGCCGTCAAAACATGCCGGTATTAATTGGGCCATCTCAGCTGCTGCCCTTGAAACTAAGAGAAGCCCTCAAGCTTTTCCCACTCGTGGCATTAAGACGAAATACTGAAAAACACGTAAATCTCCTTTCAGGAATCTGCAACTTCATTTGGAGCAATTTGGTGTTAAGCTGCTTCACTCAGGCAGTGCTTTTTATTACGCCAATCGTCGTTTTCCCCAGACCGGAAACACAAGACCGCATACCATACTGAGAAAAGCCTGCGGCGATCTACAAGAGTGAACAACCAATCAGATAAATCCGACGGGAGCAAGCAGAAGATGCACGTCAGCACTGTTTTTAAGAGCGATGGGCTTGATGGCCGGCTGTGTGAATTTTCAGCACTACTCTGCACAAAGGAAGCCGGCACAGCAGGGGGCAGTTCACATAGGGGCCGCGCAGGGAACGAAGCGGACCAGCTCACCGTTTGATAGCCAGAAGCTTGGAGTCCGCCACTTCCTGGCAGCACTGCACCTGACGGATGTCGAGGAGGATCTGGGAGAACTCCTGCTGCTGCTTCATCCTTCCCTCCTCCCCTCCCCGGCTAATAGACACCTGCAGGGCAGCGCCAGTGAGGCAGAACCCGGGGGGAGGTGAGTGAGCACACGCGTTAGGACTGGGGAGGTTTCAAACAAACAGTACATTAACACCCCCATCTGCAGGGCAGGGAGCTACGGCATCTTGAATTCATAAATGCTTTGGATTTAAACGCCAGTCCCATACCAGCGTGGGCCTATCTAAAGGTTTTCAGAACCACGACAAGACTCTCATTTCCGACGGCAACTCCAGGGCTGCTCAGTGGCGCAGCCGATACGGTGGACGCTGGGGGCTGCAGCACGGCCGTCCCTGCTCCCCCTGACAGCTCCCTCGGAGTTTTCTAACCAAGATGGGAGCCATCAGGCGTGGGCATGCAGCCGGCCTGCTGAAACACACGCCTGCGCATACAACTACCCACCTTCCTCTTTATGCGGTCCAGGAGGTGGAGCTGCCCACACTGAAAGTGTGGGTGCCGGAACTCCACACTCTCCTCCCTGTCCCGGGGCAGACCTGCATCCGCATGCGCCATCTTGTGGAAGCCATCTGCAACAACAAGGGAGGGCAACCGGTTTAGACGAAGTCGGATATTAATTAAGAATAATATGGATATTGCAAGAACCCATCTCTCCTGATCCATTCTATTGGAGGGATGGGCAGGTAAGTAGCTCACGCGTGTAAATTTAGTCCCTAGCGGTCCCAAAGGGATGCACTGCAGTGGAGTGGACCTTTCTGGTGCACGTCCTGCTAAATCATTTGCTTCTTTGCAAGGACAAAACGTGTTCCGCTTCTGCCGCGACACAAGCCCTTAGAAAAACTCCATTTTTCAGGTTTTCCCCGCAAACAGACAGGCAGCCCAAGCTTCAGAGCAAACCGCTCCGATGCAGACGTCGAAGGAGGAAGGCTTAGCATCGGCAGTCCGGTCAATTATCAGCAGTGCACCATGGCTGTATACTGCACCCCCCCTCCAAAGCCCACAGCACCCCAGGCGGCGAGACGCACACATGTTGAGCTGCCGAACGAAGCTGGCCATGTTGTTGTGCTTGAAGTAGAGAGGCAGGATCTCCTTGGCGAAGCGGCGCTCGTTGGAGACCTGGAAGCAGGAGCCATTCTGCAGAAAGAGGGAGAGAGAGCGAGAATATTATCTCGCGGTCCGGCAGCGGAGGGGGGCTATGGACCGACTGGCTGCTCCGCTCTGCTCTGCTTGCTCACTGCCAGGCGTCCAGCAGCTGGGCTCTCGCTCCGGCCAGGACAAGACTGCAGAGCTGGCAGCCTCTGCCCTCCCGCCACACTGCGCTGCCCAGCTCCCTGCTCGAACTCATGAACGTCAGAGAGCCGATCACATCACTAGAAGAGGTGTTAGTGGGGCCAGCAGGGGGCGCTCACCCTGTGGTCCATGTGGGTCCTAATGCCCCAGTATAGTGATGGGGACACTATACTGTAAACAGGCGCCGTCCTTCGGATGAGACGTAAAACCGAGGTCCTGACTC